AGGCTACATATGGTTGGATTATAGTTAGTGTTAGGGTTCGGGTTCGTGTTTGGGTTAGGGCTAGGGTTCGGGTTAGGGTTAGGGTTAGGGTTAGGGATAGGTGGTATTCATTTTACATTGTTGCTTCGAGGAAGTCGAGTGAATGGAGTGCGCTGATTGGCTGTGGTCCGGAACTTTCGTGGGAAAAAAAATTTCGCAGGCGACTCAATCTCTTATATACGAAACAACAATCTCATCGGTAAAGCCCGGCGCACAAGTTAAATGTTGCATGCGTCAAAATACTCACGCGAAATATTTTCAGCGTCCGTCGCACACGTGAGTAAAATTATTCAAGGTACAAGTGGTAATGTAGATCACGTGACGAAAGCAACGAATCTCTAAAAAAACACAGGTCACGCACGATTTCATAAACGTGATCCTCGTTTTCTTATTGCCTCCTGTTATATTTAATTGAAAGTAACCAAATTAAAAACTAATGAAGTAGTAACATTTATGCACTAATATATGATTGTGGACATAATACGGAGTATCAACCGCCATGTATCCATTTGTGCACTAATATATGGTTCATTGATATAAGCGCTGACCACAATTCATTTAGGTGATATCGTGTGTTTTAGGGTGTAAGTAGTGAGGTTGACTTCTGTGCGTGGCTGGGACATTCACTATATGCAGCGTAATTAGTGAACGACGAGACACGTTAATGATTGGTGTTAAATTGACTACGTCACGAATTTTCTATGGTGTATATTTGTAAAAAATTTGTTGTTATTTTTTTTACATTAAAAGCAAGTACTAACGGGACTAAATGTATCGTCAAATTCTTACCTGATAAGATTGTTTTTCAACTAGTTAAAAATCTAAAAAACCTGAACGATTTGATATTATGATCCTGACATTAATCGCTTGCTATGGGCTAGGTATGAGTCACGAGTCTACGTTTACATCGAACAATATAGTAAAATAGGAAGTATAATGCAGCAATTTAACCATAAAAAGTGAACAGAATTACTTACATTTTGTGAAAAAGTGGAAATATTTTTATTACTTTTACTATTTGGGGTGACGTAATCATTCCATGTTATCACACTGTCTGTTATAACTGGCGACGAAGTATATAAAATTATGTGAGACGATTAGGCGCGCTTGATCAACCTATGATTTTATGTGCAAGTTCGCGGTTAATCTTATACACGTGATTCATGTGTGAATTCCCGCACCCTGTCCCTATTCTTGGAATTGCGGCCACATGTTGCGTGCGTGCGCGCGCGTGTAGTGTCTGCATGTGTCTGTGTATGTGTGTGCGCGTGAGCGTGCACCTGTATGTGTGCGTGAGAGCGTGTGTGTGCGTGTGCGTGCGTGTGCGCGTTTATGCGCGTGTGTATACGTGCGCGTGTGTGTGTTCGCGTGCATTGATACTCTTTCTCCTTTATGCGCAGGAGCATTCTTGATACCGTACGTCATTATGCTAGCTCTGGTTGGATTGCCTCTTTTCTTCATGGAAATTGCTCTTGGACAATATTCGAGTCTAGGACCAATTAAAGCATGGAAGGTATCGCCACTATTCAAAGGTAGGGCGCGGACATATCAGCTCTGGTAGCATGCATGCTGGCGTTAGCACTTTATCGGGTGTATCAAGAAACTCGTATTATTGTTTAATGAATGGATAATTAATAATGAATAATTTTTTTAACCGTGGGCGGTCATACAAAAACAGCGTGATACGTGGTAGGTAAATAGGAATATATGTATGTATTCTATATATATATTATATATATATATTTATATTATTATCAAGAGCAGATAAAGAAGGTCTCGCTCTTGATATTATATATATATAAGTAAAAATGAATGAATGTCAAGAATATGAATGTCAGCTGAAAGGCCTGAGGAAGAGGATGCACGTCTCGAATCCGCTGATTAAAATTTAAAACACCTTTACCCTATTTCTTGACTTTGTTTTTATATATATGTTATAAATAACAAGAAATTAATAAGCATATAAATAAATATAATAAATAAATAAATAAATATATATATTCATTTCCATTGATTGGCGTATGTCGGTAGGTATCGCGTGGCATCGGTGTTCGTGTCAGCGCTCATAGGCCTTTACTACAACGTCATTGTCGCCTACTGTCTCGTGCTATCTGATCTCATCGATGACGAGCGAACTGCCGTGTGGTCCGACTGCCAAAAACGATTGGAACTCCGACGTGTGCATATCTAACAGCACCGGTGAAGAGAACACAACATTCTACACACCATCCGAAGAATACTTCTAGTACGTATCGTAGCGCGATCTAAATCGCAAAATGAAATATCTTCTCACCGATCCATACGTCCGTCCTCATTTTACTTACGTAGTTTCTTTGCTGGCAGTGGCAGATAACGTACCGATACATTTTTTATAATAATACAATCGATATCATAGTATTTTTCGGTTGATTTCGATTCTGTTTGAGGCGTCTTGCATTGACGTACTCGGTGATATACGAATATAATGACGCCAATAAAAACATTAAGTATCTCTTTTGTATTTCCCGTACCTGCATTAATAATGTATTAGTTATTAAGGAGCTAGTGTTGATAGCATTTATACTCTTCTATATGTAGGTTATCTAATACTCTTAACGTTCCATCTAAAGCCGTATTAAGCCTTATAACGCATATGAAATCATGCATATGACGATATAAGATTCGCATATTTTACTGGCTGTTATTTTAGGTGGCAGTGCATGAGCAAAATTCGATGTAATTTATCTTTTCAGCAAAAAGTGCTTGATATCTCTAATGGGATAGATGAGCCTGGTGGAATGCCAGCCAGTGCTTGTTGGCTCGCTTGCAGCAGCTTGGTTCATAGTATTTCTTGTTCTAATCAAGGGAGTTGGTAGTCTTGGCAAGGTAGGCCACGTACTATACTTATATATATATATATATATATATATATATATATATATATATTATATATATAAATATATATATATATATATATATTAATGTAGAAAAATTATAATAAAGTGTTAAATTTTAATCAGCAAGCTTTCGAGAATTATCTCTCTTCATCAGGCCATAAAATCTAGCATTGATATCTATATATTTTAACTTTATATCTAAAATTTAACACCATGTTCTATTTCTCTTCTACATTTGTTTCATATCTACATGGGTGTTCGTGTGTTTTACTTCTCTCTCTCTCTCTCTCTTTCTCCCTCTCACTCTCTTCTCTCTCTCTCTCTCTCTCTCTCTCTCGTCTCTCTCTCTCTCTCTCTCTCTCTCTCTATATATATAGTATATATTATATATATATATATATATATATATATATATATATATATATATACTAGCGGGATATCCGGCGTTGCCCGGGGAAATCAGTGGCGTTACTCAGCTGGTGACCGCTTGGTTAAAAGGAAAATACCCCAAAAAATCTAACTATATACCCCCAAACTATCTATCTATCCATGCATCCATCCATGCATGCATCCATCCATATATCCCATTCCATGCCATCCCATCCCATCCCATCGCACCGCATCCCATCCCATATCCCATCCCATCCCATCCCATCTCATCACATTCAGTGCCATCCCATGCCATGCCATCCCATCCCATCCCATCCCATCCCATCCCATCCCATCCCATCGCACCGCATCCCATCCCATATCCCATGCCATTCCATGCCATCTCATGCCATCCCATGCCATCCCATGCCATCCCATCCCCATGCCATCCCATGCCATCCCATCCCAGCCATCCCATGCCATCCCATTGCCATTCATGCCATCCATGGCCATTCAATGCCATGCCATCCCATCGCATCCCATCCCATCCCAAACAGTAACAAATAATAAAAATTCAAAAGATAAAAGACATTAAAAATAAAAATAATTAATAAACTAAAAAAATAATAAATTAAATAAATTAAAAATAAATTAAAAATTAAAAATAATACATACTAAAGAGGTAGGTAAAGGGAAAAAAGGAAAAAAGGAAATCTAACTATCTATCTATCTATGCATCCATCCATTCATCCCATCCCATCCCATCGCACCGCATCCCATCCCATATCCCATCCCATCCCATCTCATCACATTTAGTGCCATCCCATCCCATGCCATCCCATGCCATCCCATCCATCCCATGCCATCCCATCGCACGCGCATCCCATCCCATCCCATCTCATCCCATCCCATCCTATCCCATCGCATCCATCCCATCGCATGCCATCCATGCCATCCCATCCCATCCATTCGAAACAGTAAAAAATAATAAAATCAGAAGATAAGACATTACAAGATGTTGTACTGATGAACCCACTGTGCCATCACGTTTATACACCATGGATTCAGACGTGATGTTGTGTGTACGTACGTGACCGCCTTCTATTGATCAATAGAATTTTTTATGAATGTTTTACTTTTTAAAATTTTAAAATTTTAAAGTTTTAGCCAGAACCACCAGAAGACGCGCTGATTCTGAAATATCTTTAGTTTTCCTCTAGCTGCAGAGTTCTCTAGTTATGCGCGAACACACTAATTTGGCTGAACAACTTTATATATATATATATATGTGTGATGTGTGTGTGTGTGTGTGTGTGTGTGTGCGGTGTCGTGTGTGTGTGTGTGTGTGTGTGTGTGTGTGGTGTGTGTGTGTGTGTGTGGTGTGTGGTGTGTGTGTGTGTGTGTGTGTGTGTGTGTGTGTGTGTGTGTGTGTGTGTGTGCGGGCGTGTAGTGTGTGTGTGAGTGTGTGTGTGTGTGTGTGAGTGTGTGTGTATGTGTGAGTGCGTGCGTGCGTGCGTGCGTGTGTGCGTGTGTGCGTGCGTGCGTGCGTGCGTGCGCGTGTAATGTGATATAATGTTGCCGCAGCCATGCTCGTGCGTGGACGTTCGTTCGTTCGTTCGTTCGTTCGTTTGTTCGTTTGTTCGCGCGTTCGTTCGTTCGTTTGTGCGTGCGTTCGTTCGTTAGTTTGTTCGTCTGTGCGTGCGTGCATGTGCGCGTGCGTGTATATTGTATAAACAGCAAACTAAGATAGCGTGCGCACGCGCATTGACGACTCGTATCATGAAATCGCTATATTATTACAACTCTATTGATTCTCGTGCTATCAGACGATTCGATCATATGTAACATCTAAATGTTCTAAACTTCGTAGCGCCATTATACAATGAATTTCGCAGGTCGTGTACTTCGTCGCAATATTTCCCTACATAATGCTGACAATATTGCTCGTAAGGGGGCTAACACTAGAAGGTGCCTCGGATGGAGTCATGTACTACTTGAGCCCTTCGTGGGAGCGTCTTGCAGACATACAGGTAAGGTGCTATTTGATTTGACAATGGATTTGATATTAAGTTTGCCTATACGCGATTTCTGTGCGTTATACTCTGTGTCTTTTGTAGAGCGAAAATAAAGTGTGATGTAGAGCATGAGTAGAGAAAAATGACAACAGAAAAAGTCGTTGCGTAGAGTATTCGTAAACTGCAATGTTAATAACGATTGCACTTGCCCCTATAGTGAAATACCCCATTGTGAACACGGTCAACATAATCAGGGAAACTCATGGGCCTCTCAACAAAATCTGGCCAATAATTTATTAATTAATAATGCTCTAGCGAACCACTCTTGTGTTTATTACGTACTGCGTGCACAGGTCTGGAAAGACGCTGCAGTGCAGATATTTTTCTCGCTCAGTGCTTGTACTGGAGGACTAATAACAATGTCCAGCTATAACCGATACGAGAACAACATACGAAGGTATAACTCTTAAGGCCCCCGCACACGGCGCGCATTCGGCGCGCGCCAACAAACGCGCAAAATATCTATATATGTGTTTGATTTGTCTGGCTCAACGCCGTTGGCGCGCACCTACTGCGCACCGTGTGCGGGGCCTGTACCGTTTCGATAAAGCTGTCAACCTTGGTACTACCCAAATAAAACTAGAGCAAATACCGTTAAGATTACGCCAGCCATATACGCGTCATTAAAATATAACGAAACTGATATAATAATATATTACGACTGTAAATTATATATATTATATGTCTCTAGACTTATATCGCGCATATATGTGTGTGTGTGTGCGTGCGAGCGCGCGTGCGTGCGTGCGTGCGTGCGTGCGTGCGTACGTACGTACGTACATGCGTGTGTGTGCATGCGTGCGTGCATGCGTGTATATGTGTGCGTGTTTGTAAACCTATCGTAGCAGAATCGAACAACAAAGTTGTAATGACTGGATACTGGATATATACTTGCATATGAAGCCGCGCTATACAAAACTAGGGATAAATGACTACGGGAATCTTGTGTTTTGTTTCAGGGATGCTATTTTGATTCCGTTGCTTAATTGCGCAACAAGTGTCTTTGCGGGATTCGTTATTTTCTCGGTGTTAGGATTCATGGCTCACGAGAAAAACGTTCCAATCGATGAAGTTGCTGAACAAGGTACTTGTACAGTTTCTTTCATAATTCAATTAGACTGAACATTATTAATTAAACAGTTTTCTCAAATAGCACAGTTCAGTACGAGTGAGTTTTGAGAAGCCGTTAAGGGGTAGATATATTGAAATGTATAAGGCGACTCAATGTGTTTAACTAAAAGGGTCATACTAAATTTAATTGTTCATTTAGTCGATGTAATTCGTGAACATGACATCCATCTAGTGAAACGTGCAGGAATAGATGTTTTTTTATACATAAATCCATGGAAAGTAGTACGCCATATTGATCTAGCTGATACTATCACGTGCGCCTGATATATAATCTAAAATTATATTTATCTGAATATTTGCGCGTATGTGCAATGTCATTTGAGTTTTATTATAAGCAGTATAATATTTTAGGGCCTGGCCTAGTGTTTGTCGTGTATCCAGAGGCACTTTCAAAGATGCCAGTTCCTCCGTTGTGGTCCATACTGTTTTTCATCATGATGTGTTCACTGGGATTCGGATCACAGGTATGATATATGACATGTAGTACGTTACAGCTCGTAGCTACGTAGTTAATATTACGGTCAAGTCAAGTGCAAGAGCGCCATTGCTACGATACATTGCCCAAGTAAATGTTAACGACATGTCCGCCATTATCGAATATTTTACGCGCATTCATTTTATACGTTGCCAATACCTGTTCTGTACCCGTTTTCGCACCTATTTTTGGTACAGGTGTTCTAATAGTTTTGTATCGAGTTTGTGTAGGGTTTGTTCGGATTTTACACCCGTTGGTCCGTACACTGTTACAACATATTTTACGTATTGAAAACGATCGTATGTGGGTTTTTTTTTTACTCTCCGCGTGTTTTTTTTCAGTTTTCAATCATTGAGAACGTTATTGCGTCGATCATCGATCAATTTCCCGGTACCTTGCGTTCGAGCACGCTTCGCAGCATATGCTTCAGAGCTGTCGTATGCTCGGCATTTTTCCTGGTCGGCCTTACAATGGTCACTAGAGTGAGTAGAATATATCCACATAATACTCCACACGTCGACACTTCTGCCAATAATATTTGCGATTACAACGATCGAATATCAATGTTCGTTTAGGCAACCGGATATATACATATATATATATATATATATATATATATATATTAACTTGTTTATAGAAAAAATATAGAAGTCAAAGACACACAACGACACCCGTGTAGATAACAAACAAAGTCCAAGGTATAGGGAATATAGGTGTTTAAAGGTTTAGTTGACAAGCTTTCGAGGGAGTTACAGACTAATCTATTCATTGCTCAAGTCCATGCAACACATTGGAATAGAATCAAAATCAATCATAAAACAAACTACACATCTAAGCGTTATAGATAATTAATGAAGTCTCACACAATTCGCGCGTTGCCTATGCCCTCGCTTGACGACAAAAGAAACACGCACATATAGCAACTCACGCACAAAACACACACACAGCGACGACACCACACATACACAATGAACTTCACACAGCTACACACACACACACAACCACACTCACGACGAAACAATCTACTTACGGCACAAGCACCACTACTCACAATACTCACAGCAGCACACCTACACTTGACCCTAACACAACACACACTACCACCGCTCACCTACAACACACTCAGCACAACTCTCAGCACTAATACTCACACGACGCAAACACACCAACACACCACACAGCGCACACGACACACACACCACAACGAAAGCAATGGACTCAAAATCACACGTAATACTTACCACATCGCCAACGGAGTTAGAACTAGGGGACCTAGGTAATGTGCTCCGGCGCTCGTACGCACTGTTCGTGCGTTCGTGAATGCCTTTAACGTGCTTGTTGTGTGTGTGTGTTGTGTGCCTCGCACGCGGTGTGACTGCTTTATCTGCTCCATGATTCATGGAGCCACGCGACGAATTTGTGTGACTCATTGATTATCTATAACTGCATTGTTTTTGAAATCATTATGATTCTTACTTTCACCACATGTTGCTGACCTCTGATGAAGAGATGTAATCTCGAAAGCTTGTCAATTAAAACTTAAACACCCTTAATTCTTTACCTTGACTTTGTTTTATATATATATATATATATATATATATAGCTAATATTTAATGTATGTAAAATATATACCGTATACGAAAGTCCATTATGGTGTAACTTTCAGATATTATTAATATAATTGTATTGGCGAACGGTTGAATCATGCGGTGGTACACAAAAGAAGTTTTTAAATGTTGATGCTAATATTCTAGATTACGTTACCATAAATGATTGTTAATTACGAAAATTGTTTATTGTACTATTATTTTGCTCTAAACCCTTACAAAGATAAATCGAATGAATAATTGATCATCAGTAACGTAGCGTTCTTTGTTCAACTACCATTGTATTCGTTGACATCTCGTAATAAAAATCCTCTTTAAATACGTCTCTTCATATTTTATTTCAGGGTAGGGGATGTACTATTAACACGTTATCGATGAGAGCCGCAGAGGCGGTCTTTCCCGTATTGCATAAATTCCCGTGGACTCTTTGAATTAATCGCTTTGCAACTGGGTGTAACGGGTGAGGCCCACTGTGTGCGTGCGGTTATAGCCCTTAATAATTAAATCGTAATTTAGAACACAATAAATGATTGCGTATAGCTTCATCTTAGGATCTGTTTAGCAACAGACGCGGATGAGCTGCGTATATATATATATATAAATATATATATATAGCTTACTATAACTTAATATATATACTTCATAATATATATAACCCGGCATGGCGCCTAAGCGTCTCTCGTAGTGGCGTCTCTGAGTGAGCTTTATAGTAAGTGTGCGTCCGCAAAACTTTAGCAGCAAGTTGTAAATGATCCCATCGTCCGATTGCGGAGCGCCTACGATAAAGCTGACAATTCAAATAATAACGAGTGCTCTTATATATATATATATATATATATATATATATAATACCTAGGTATATTTAATAAATCATATATATATATATATAAACCTATTAGCAAAAGTAGCCCCGTCTTCGGACGAGTGGGAATCAGGAATGAGTGTATTAGTGTTTTGTAAGGCTCACCTAAGGATCAATTGGCTTCTTTGTAAAGTATGTCTTGTGTTTCTTGTGGCTGTGTGGGGAATCGAACATCGCCACTGGCTTTTTTCTCCTTGTGAGAGGGAACAGTAGAGGCATGCCCATGAAATGAAGACAAGGTGTGGTCAGGCCCAAGCCTATATATGGTAGTGAAAGTCTATTATAGTGATGCTCACCCGGGTGCGGGGCATAATGCGTGAATGTAGACTACTAAACCAAATTGCCAGTCGGTTTAGCTGAGAAGAAAGTAGCTCTTAAAGAAGTAAAATAGCATACAAAAGTTTATCATTGATAAAAGATCGTTACTCAAGGTGATTGGACACTCAATTTACATGGAACTCAATGGTAAATACCCAACCGTGGTAGTGTAGCTAACACAGAAGTCTGATTTCCATTGAGTTTTGATGTGTGAGTATTTTCCAGGCTGAAGCTTTATGCAATCAGCGAAAGACTCTTAGCACGCTAAGTAAGTCAACGTAAAGTTGGCCAATCAGAGAAAAGACGGGTTTTGGGGAGAAAAATCCCCAGCTTCTTGAAAGTCTTCGACAACTTCCTCGCGCTTTAAAGCCGCGATATAATTAAATAATTACATTAGGATCAAATGCTTTTAGACTAACGACGCAGATGAGCTGGTCTATATAATATAATACTTATATATATATTATATATATAAGGCATGGCCTTCTGCGTCCGCAGTGTGTCCTCTGAGTGTGCTCTGAGTGGCTTTTTATAGTAATGGCGTCTCCGCATAACTAATTGCAGCAAGTGTAAATGTCCATCGTCCGATGTGCGGATCCTACGAATAAGCTGAAATTAACAATAGTTTATGAGACGCCTCAAAGCTCTAGCTCTCTCTCTCTCTCTTTCCTCTCTCCACTCTACTCCTCCTCTCCTCATTCTCCACGTCTTTCTCTCTCTCCTCCCTCTCTCGTCTTTCTCTACCCTCGCCTCTCTCTCTCTCTCCTCTCTCATGCAGTCTAACTATATAAATATATATATATATACATACCTTTGGAACGTCTTAAATGTCCAGTCGCAGGACAACGACCCTATATATTATAAACATTATAGCTGCTACTATAACAGAACAATAAACAGATATCACAGAATATTTATTGCTTATTTGAATGCTATTTTATGCGCAGGAGTTGATAAAAACTCGCAGAGAATATCTACGAAATGAACGAACTGGCGAATTTTCAATATACCTGGAAAGATGTGCTGCCGGGAAGTATCCATTGCGCTTCCCGACAATTTTACTTGTACCCTGATATTTATTCTATTTAGATTAATCTTTTATTTATAAACTCTACTTCTCCGGCAGCAACACAAAAATGATCAAAGTGCATATGCTGGGTTAAATAACTCGCAGGTATAATATCCATAGAAATAATATACTAATTAGACTCTAGTAGATACATTAGTTATATTTATGATATAGTTTGGTTGTATATAGTTTAATTATTGTACTACCTGTTATATACTTTAAAACATATTTATATAATATAATATTATATATAATTATTATATAGTTATTATATAGTTTAATTATATAGTTTAATTATATATATTAGTTGTATTTATTGTTATAATCGTCTGTGGTAATACTTGCATTCGTGTTGGCACGATTTCGGTTTGTTTTTGGTTCTCATGCAAGTTCTACTAACGGCTTTAGGTTATCATCATACTGAGCTGCATCGAGTATGCTCCGATCACGTACTCCACTCCGTACGCCGATGACGGTAGCGGCGTTTACGTATACCCCAGATGGTCTATCTCCATCGAATGGTTTATCTACTGTGTTCCCGTCGTGTTCGTACTGATCGGATTCTTACACGAATTCTGCAAGAATGGCGGACTAGCTGTGAGTAATGGCGTAATTTTGTTTCGATTCGATGAATCGTTGCTATTGGCGCCTTTGTACGTTGGTTTTTGTGGCCATAGGTAATGGTGTATTTATTCGACGAATCGTTGCTATTCGTGCGTCTTTACGTTGTTTTGTTGTGTATGGCTATAATACGTAGATGTACATTTAATGGGGGATAAAGTGATGTACCTCTTAGCATGATGTGCATGCCCAGAGAAACCCCCCCCCCAAGATGATTCGTTCAATAATTTTTACGTATATGTTTTTATGAATTTATTATTTGCTGGCGCAGCGCTATAATTTTATTTGCTATATATTGGCAGATTATAGGTAAATAATTTAAGAATCGTTTAATAAATCGTCTAGGCACTCAAAGACTCGTCTGTAGCAAGGTGGGATTGGGGTCCGGCTAAAGAGCAGAAGGCGTTCTATGCGGCCGAGGAGTCCACAGCATCCTTCACGTCTTGTCCTGAAGATATCAGCTTATTTCGACACCAACAGCCGACATCTGACAGACTTCAGGATGGTACCGCCGTACGCCCAACTCCACAGGGTCACGACAACAACGCTTTCTATATTGAATGATCAAGTTGGGAGGGTGTGTGCATGTGTGTGTGTTGGTGGGGGGAGGGGGTGGTTGGTTCGGCCGTGTTGGAAAAATTATTCGTTATAATACCCATACCATTGACAGCGTTTAGATCTGATTTTTAGATAGAGATATATATTGTAGAATATATTGTAGTGATAATCGGTAATGTTTTCGTCGTTCTCGGTTGTACACGCGTTAGTTTTATGACGCACAAGTGTAACGACGAAGATGACGTTGAACCGACCGTCTTAAATGTAAGGATCCGGTTCGTACGCGATGAATATGTCGAAAACTCGCAAAGCCTCCACAGCCAGTAGTGTTCAGCAAATAGTAGTATTGTTCTCAAACCACATTATGCTCGCACAGAGGCGACCGCAGGACGCGTGGCCTCGCGCTACGTCCCGTCCGAAACGCAGCTATACTACAACAAAATCGATACACAGAATAACACCATAACAACAATCAAAATACAAATGAGAGATCAATATGAAGCGTAGAAAACAGTAACGATAAAAAGTCCTACCACAAATAAACACAATCGCGTAACTATATTATAGTCATGACGGGTCTATCTACCTGTGCCTTCTTATCTTAACGTAGCAATATTAACAGTAGAAGAAATCTTAGGGTGCTTACACTTCCTAGCGTATCGATGATTCCGTGTTCCCTGACGCGTTCAATTGTGAGGATTCGACAGCGTATAAATGCGTGACAAAAAATCCCGTCGTAGTCCCCTTCTGCTCGGACCGGTGTTACGCGGACTTGTGCTTTAACCAGAAGACATAACTTTACGCGCCGCGTATTCTAACCTCGTTTCCCATTGCGTAAAACGTGAACGCCATGATACGTTCGGGCGCGTAGGGCCCTCTTAACGCCTTTATTGCACACGCGTGGCCGCACGGCTAATCTATCTCCAGCCCGTGTAACGCCTGCATTTATAACCATTAAATGGTCACGCCTATAAAACGGCTCTATTGTGGCAGACACAACCGTACACCGCCGTACAGGCCAATATCGTCAGTATACTTAGCAGTTCAGGCGAGCAGTAAACAGCGTAGCCACAGCGAAATGTATACTAAGGAAAATTGCAAAACACCCGCACGAGACCGACATCCTTTACAACGGCATTGATATATGCTCCTCTTCTTTTCTGCCAGCTTCTCTGCTCCATCGCTCCGATTTGCTCTGTCTGCTCCGGCGTCATCGGCATTGCATTCTTCCTATCCGTCTCTCCTCCTCCTCTCTCATTCTTCTGTCTCTCTTGCTCTCTCGTATCCGGCTCGTCGTCTCCTTTTAACCCTCGGGACTCACAACATCTTCTTCCTTCCCGCTTCTCCAGTTTTATTCCGTGGCTCCGTGGCTCGTGAATCGTTAATGTAGGGCATCTTACGATTATTCCGCAAACGCCGATTCTAACTGTCGACGCGCACAAAATGTAAACTACGAAGATGGACGTTACCCGCGTCTAAATGTAGATCGTTGTAGCGATATGATGATTGAAACTCCGCAACTAAGCCCAAGCAGTTAGTGTTCAGCAAAATAGTATATTTGTTTCTCAAAGCCACATAATGCTCGCGACAGAGGCACGCAGTCAGCGCCGTGGCTCGCGGCACGGTCCCGTCCCGCATCTCCCTCACGGAACTAAGAACCTTCCCTCTATAACATTCCTCGATAGATAACAAAGAACGTCGGCGCGCGCCCAGACAACCGACATGTGCTGCCCACATGTACAACAAGTCCCTCTCAACCGTTTCGCATCTCCATCATCCATACTACAACAACCACGCTACCGCCAACCAACACATTATGCAACCCCTTGTCGCGACATTTCTAAACACAACTACTATTTTACCATCTGCAAACCATACTTTACACAAGTGAAGAATCTTGCAGACCTATTACGCGGTGGTCTCGTGCATCCCTACATTTTCTAGTTGTTTTTGTCAGTATTGTCGTATATTTATATCGGTCTGACTTGCTGTAATCATTTTGAAGATTGTAATAACTTTGATGCCCATTGCTGTACAGAATATACACAAGGTTCTTACTCATTTTTTGCACATGTATGTGTAGTGTTAGTACAATCTTTGTGAAGTGATCAGACCTAGAAGTGCATGCGCGTGACAGATCACGTGATCATATTTGTTGTTTTCAATTTTTAAGTCCCGTGTTTCTTAAAATTTTATATCACACGTGATATCGCAGATAACCCTGGTAACTAAAAATACACTTTCAACAATACAGTGTGTATTGTTGAACACCTTCTAACAATACACTCTGTATTGTAGTAGGTACCTAACAACTGTGTATTTAAATTCAATTTCATTTTCAATAAATTCAATCAAATCAATCAAATAATTTCAATAAATTCATTTAAATAAATGTCAATTTCAAGTTTACAAATAAAAAAGTAAACTAATTGAAAAAACACAAAAAAACACAGTGTATTGTTAGAAGGTGTTCAACAATACACAGTGTATTGTTGAAAGCTCATAGGTACCTACTACAATACACAGTGTATTGTTAGAAGGTGTTCA